AAAACCATGTTTATGTGATGGAGATCGATCTCCTGGATAGCAATTACAGATTCACTGGGGAATCAATGCAACTAAATTCACATTGACCTCAGCAGAATAATTTATAGTTCAGGAAGTACCTTCAGGCTCCTGTCTGGGGAAACTTAAATAGGTACAGACATGTATGTTCCTCAGAAAATCTTTTTCTAGGAAGACATGGTTGACCAGAGATTATAAATGGATCCTGGGCTACCTGGCATCTGCAAGTGTTTCTGAGACCTTAATTTTTGTGTTTTAGTTTAAGCAGGAAAAGAACTGTAGCATGTCTTGAATAATAATAACTTTAAAAAAGTAAATGAGTATTTATCACTTAATATGTGCCAAGCATGGTGCTCTTTACATATAGCACAACATGAGGAAAGGAATCATCCTGTTATTGATGACCATGCTGAAGTTCAGGGATGTTAAGTCACAGAGTACCATGTGTCAGAACTAGAACTTAACACAGGCAGTGTGATTTGGATGCTTAGATTTTGAGGATACACTGTACACCATTCCCCTATTCATTCTTTAAATTATGGGGCGCTTGCCAAGTTTCCACGCCCAAGGTCTAGGCAAGGGCTGTCACAGAACCCCAGGACTGAGTGTAACCTGAGGAGCAGAGAGGAGGCCTGGCATAAAGGGACAGCGTGGGGACAAACACAGCCAGCAGGCAGAGGGAACAGGTGGGGCAGCTCAGTTCACAGTGAGTTGAGATCACGCAGAGCAGTTGCATATGTAGAGCCGCAGCTAACACATGAGATGTCTCCTAGCACTCTGACTTCTCTCGTGGCCAAGAGAACATTCCCACCCTGATGTCCACTTCCCCTTAGAGCCCGCCCCTTCAAATCCCACTGTGGTTACACGGACATGCCTTCTCACCAGGACCAGAGCCTTTGAATGAGCTCTCTCTGCAGGTATGGCTTGACCCTCCCCCAGGGGTACAAGCTTCCCCTTGCAGAGCCACTCTACGGTCTAAGTATCATTACCATACACACTTTATAAATCAATACACTAAGGAACAAATAGATTAAATTATTTTCCCCAAATCACACAGCTCACAAGGGATAGAGCTGGGATTTGAATCCAGATAAATTTGAGCACTAAGCGACAGTCATTCTCTGCTGGCTTCTGCGGTCTCAAGTTTCTAATGCACATCGTATATTTCATGAAAACAAACAATCTGCCATAACTAACTCCAAACCTGCACTGATATGTTTTGAACCAGGCAACTTTTATTTATTAAGATCTCTGGGTAAGCCTGTTTAGGCTCACTATTTATTACTGTACCTCTCACTCTGAAATAGGACTGGCTGGTAACTTGAAAAATGGATAAAGAATTGTGTCACTGTGCTCTGACTGGTTAAAATCCCTCCTTCCAGGCTGAAATGCTACTGCATGCTGTCAGTTCTCCTAGGCATTTATCCTGGAATTATAGTGCACACCATTAAGCTTGGGGGTATTCTCAATTCTTTGCAATTTCATAAACTGTGGAGGCCCCATTGAGCATGGAAGGCTGAGCAATAAGTGGGTGTGTATTGTGAGTGGAATGCTTTGTGCTTCCAGAATCCCTGCAGAGAAAAGCAAAGAGAGGAGAGTGTCAAACTTGAATCAGACCACTGGGGATCTGTGACCCCTCCTGTTCCATGTTATAATACCTGGCAACGCCCTTCCCTTCTACAGTAGCTGTCAGCTGTGCCCTGAGACCACCCTGGGGAACACACGGTTCTCCTAAGACCTTCCTGGATCCTTCCCGAAACCTCAGCCCAGCTGCTTCCTCAGGTCCCCTGGGCTGCCTATTCCATGCCAACTCCTTGCTGCCCACTTTGCTCTGCAGTTCCTTCTGAACTTGCTCTTTATCTCTCTCTCTCTCTTTTTTTCATTTCTATGGCTGGACTTTGTAACATCAATTCATGACAATTTCACTATAGGCAGGAAGCTGGCCTTCTGCTTCCCAGCCCTCATCTCCCTGCTCTGTCTGCTGGTCTCCCTGAATTTCTCTCCCCATACTCGGCATTTGGGGTAACTAATGGCCAGTCTAGGTGAGAAGTGCAGACTGCCCTGAAGCAACCTTGCTAACAAGACCCCTGTGGTGTGGCCAGTCTTAGGGACAGGGTTCCGGAGCTTTATGGCTCTCTTCAAGCCAGTCTTTACCTACCAGTAGATCCATGTATGTGTGTACACATGTGCGAGTGTGTGTGTGCATGTATGTGTACATGGTGCATGAGTGTGCATGTATACCTGTGAGCATGTGTGTGCAGAGGTGGAAAAGGCAGGGAGGGTGGATCCTTGGCCAACTTTTCATCAACATTACTTGGTCCAACAAGTAATTCCACGAAGGGAGTCAAGACCTAGTGTGGGGATGATACTCCACCCATGGTGTGGCACCACGTGGCAGTGGTTACCTTTCTGTCATTCTCAGAGAAGCTCCTTGGGAAGCTCTGGGGCACCAACACCCTCAAATGCACAGGAAGTGGGTGAAGGGCTGGAGGCCAGACCGAGGGCCATGGGCGGTCCTGACAAGGAAGAACTTGTGGGACAGAAAGAAACAGATCGGAAGTAATGGCTGGTGACACAGGGGGTGGTGCTGGGAGATTAGAAATCACCAGTGTCCTGGCGTCTGTGGGGATTACCGTGGGACGGTGAGTGGAAACTAAGTTGCTAGCTGTTTGGCAGCACTTTATCCACTCGCAGGTCCCTGTGGGGAAAGAAGGAGGCAACCTCTTCCATACACTTCCGCCTGCTTGCGCCCCAGCAAGACTCTCCGCCTGGGCAAGTGTTTGGGCCACGTAAGGGACAGTGGATGCAGGAACTGTGGCTCACTTTGCAGGTTCCTAGCTTTAGAGAGACCCTGCGGACATGCCCTGATTTTATTCAGCGCAGCAAGAATGTGAAAATTAAAAAGCCACGGACATTTCCAGGAAATGCCAGCTGAAGCATCAAATCAGCTGCAAATTTACAAATCTAGAAAACTAGAAATTATCTCTATTTAAATGTATAAACATATTTTTGGTTCTTTTAAAAATAGAATTCAATGAGAAAACATCCAGTGGCTGATCGTGGGCTATTATTAACCTAAGTTTATTATTAAGGACTGATCTCCGAGACGCACCCCTGCTTTCCCGAGCCCCTCACACTCACAAGCACACGCACATCAGCACCTTTTCTGCCTCTGGGCCACTCTGGTCTTTCCTTCACTCCCTAATTGTGCCCAGCGCCCTCCTTTCTCGGAACCTTGCACTCTCTCTTCCATCTGTCTGAGACGATCAAGCTTCGTCTTTTGCACAGCTGACTCTGGACCTCTGCGTGTTTCTTCAAGACATACCGTCCTGCTAAGTGCTTATTCGTTTGTGGCACTAAGCAGAGTTATAGTCACGGTGATGTCAGAATTTCTGGACTGGTACTCAGATGGGCGCACCGTGAGGTTCTTCATTTTCTGGTGCTGATGATCTCACTCCAGCTGATGTAAGGTGGGAGCTAAAGTTGTCTTGATCCCTCTAAGTTCAGAACATTCTCTTTTTGATAAACTATCGAAGTCAAAATTCTCTAATTCTTCATTATGTCTTTTTTTCCTCTCTTAAATACATCCCCCTCCCCTGACCCTACCTAACAAGGTGTTGGGAGGTAAAAGGAGGTTAGCCACATCCTCAAGGTACAAATAGACCTAAATAGTGACTTGTCCCCAGCTGGCCTCAATGTCCTCACTGGCCTCTTTGCTTCTTGTCCTGCCTGGTGACCAGGCCTCCATGCTAGCGTACACTGAGGTTACTCTGGGCCTTTCCAGATTGTTGAGTGTCATGTCACACCCCCTGCTGAAAACCACAGATCTTGCCTCTTCCGCTTTGATGCCCCACACACTCTACGGTCTTCTTGCCCTTTCCCAAGCCTCTCCCCATCCACTGAAGCACTCTAGCACTGGTGACCAGAGTCAGTTTGGGCACGAATCAGTCAATTCAGTTCTCTGGCTAGAGGTAAGCAGGGGGACCTGTATTCTGACTATAAGAAAAAGAAACGTCAAGCCTAGCCATGTGAGCACAGCAGGTGGTGACAGCATTTCCCAACTCCAGTGGTAGGTGCAGGATCACAGGCCTCTCTCTAAACCGCCCAGATTCCTCAGTGCAGCAGTGACACAATGGTCTCCTGGACTTGCTGGCAGCGGCATCAGCATGTTGGCACATTCCTGCACCCCTCTGTACATAGCAGCCAGGGTCACATTTACCAGGATCCCCAGGGCGTTCCTGAGGGCTGGCTCTCACAGCATTGTGAGGACAATGAGGACTGGACGCTTGGGGTCTGGGGCTTATGACAGGAATAAGAATCTAAGGATCAAAAAACAGGCATTCTCACCACAGTATAGGAAACTGAAATATCCCTTTCCAAAACATGACACTTTGGCATAAAAATTATTTTGAGCTGGAAACATTTGAGATTCAGCAGATGCAAAAAGAAACCTTCCCAGAGCTTCCCTTATCTTACTAACAGCAGAAATTTTTGAAAAATAAGGACTGCCATAATTCTCTCTCCTGGGAAAGTTTTATGGCCATAAACAGGATGAAAAGTCGGTGCCAAGATGGACCTGTGCAAACAAGTCTTACTCCATCTGTTTTCCCCATATCATTGCCTTCCCACAGTTTGCCACCCTTAGAATCCTAAAATCTTTTCCTTTGTCTAAACACTTCCCTACATATTCGTTTTTCTTTGTTAAGAAGTTATGTTAGCTCAAGTTCTAACCACCCCTTTGAGTTACTCATCACTGCATTTCTCCTGTGCATGTGTGCTGTATGTGTTAGCAAACTGTTTTTCTCTTGTTAATCTGTCTTTTGTCAGTCCAATTTGCAGGTCCTTAGCTGGAGAATGAGAAAAGTAGAGGAAAAGGGTTTTTTTGCCTTCCCCTACAATAGCAACCATTTAAATCTGAATAGTATTTACTACACATTTTTTCAGAAACATTTATTTCTGTGGATTCTCTCCTCTTTCTGTAGATTCAAAGCCAAAGCCCTGCTATTGAGGAGCTGGCAGTATGATGGGGGAGAGAGGAAACAACTACCATGTGACAGTGTATTCACAGAGAGTTCTAGAAGGACTGGGTTTGGGGATGAGAGACGTCTGCACAGGCTTTCTGGAGTTTGCACTCCTACGCAGTGTTGTGTCTGGTATCTTCTTCATTCAGACAGAATTATGGTTTGCTTACAGTTCTGTCACTTACATGAAATAAAACAAATCTGGGCATAAATAAGAGAGACTTTATTCCAAAGAATTATTGAAATAAGAGGAGAGAAACTATTGTAACTGGGGAAGAGAGGCGACTGCAGTATAGAGAAGTCTCCTGCCATGAGATCTGCAAGTATCTCAAAGGTTGGGTAGAAAAGGGTGTTTCTTGTGTGGGGAAGAACAGACAAGGATAGAAAGAACTGGGAGGAATGGATGAAGGTGCAGATGGCATGATCAGAGAGGTGACCCTGAGATCAGTCTACCCTGGGAAGGGCCAGTAGGAGGGGCTGAGACTCTGTCTGGCCTTGTCATAGGTATATAAGGTGGGGCTTCTGAGAGCCTTAGCCAAGCCATATCCGAGAGAATGACCCTCCACAGTAAACGACTTCCTGAAATACAAAAAAGAGTAAGCTTTCTTAATTTTTGCTGTATCCAAAAGCACGGGCTCAGATAAACTTTAATATTGGCATCTAGCTTCTGTGTAAGTTTGAGCCTCAGTTTCCTCATAGGAAAGTTGGGTAAAGAATGGCTCTGTGTCAAGGTGGTTATGAAAATCATAGATGGAACTTTGCAAAACGAGTTAACATGGTACCGGGCACAATTTATGAGTTCAATATTAGTAGTCAGCGTTACTCTTCTGATTAATTTTGTTGTTATTACTGTATGCTGGGCTTTGCTTTTATTAAAGCAATTTTTATTATCTATTTTAAAATTAAATGCAAGTACCCAGAATCTAAAGCATTTAGCAAAAAACGAAAATGTGATTAATCTTAATGTGATCCCATCGCCATCCAGGAGAAAGCCAATGGCATAGGAAGCATTTGACCAAACAAAGGACATACCAGTCAGATCTTGTTAAACTAACTTTCTAACATGATTTCATTGAATGGACTCCCTGGGAACCCATGCAGAGCGCTGTTTGCAATCTAAATGAGCATGGGCCTCTGGGGTATAGAGGCTGGAGACTCCATTGTGGATCTAAAGAGATGCCAACTCTCTAAGGGTTGTGCCTCTGGGTCTCCATGTGTATTCTGATTCCTACTAATGTGACCACAGTGACTCTTTCTACGAATATTCAAATTCTTCCAGACTCTTCCTTCTCACACTGGGGATGGCGCATCTCCTAACAGCTTCTTATTGGTTTAGAAAAGATTCCCTGGAGACTTTGTAAAGGAGCCTTAAATATTTCATGGACTCATCTGCCTGTTTAATTATGTCTACATGCAAAAAAGGCTTCCTGGCTAGGCATACATTTTACAGTACTGTTATCTAAATATTTAAACAGCTGGGCTTCTGTGTCCTCAAGAAATGTACCAGTCTTTGCTTAAAGGCCCAAAGTGAAGCAGCTTTGAAAATATATGAATATCATAAGTAGATCTCCACATATAAATAGGGTGGCTAATTTTTATTTTTAAAGCTAATTAAACAACAACAACAAAAAAGTCTGCCCTTTGCATGGACTGTTTGCTAGGGTAGCTTATGATATGCTAGACTGGAGCTTTGGAATAAAAGAGGCACAAAGAGAATCTTCATTTTACCATTTATCAACTGGACAAAACAGTGCAAGTCAGTTAACCTCACTGTGCCTTATTTCCCTCCTTTTAAAAATGGGAGTAATAATGGTGCCATGGCTAACTCCTGGCAATTGCTAGTTGTTCTGTATTTCTGATCATTTCAAGACTGTTACATAAGTGGAATCATACAGTATGTGACTTTTGGGAACTGGCTTTTTCTTTACCACTTTACTGAGGTATCATTGACCTACAAAGAGCTATACATATTTAATGTTTACAACTCGATGAGTTTGGGGACAAATATACACTAGTAAAAGCATCACCACAATCTATGTCATAAATATATCCATCACCTCCCAAAGTTTCCTCCCATGCTCTTTATTTATTAATTTTTATTTTGTGTAAGATCACTTAACATAGCAAATTTTTAGGTATACAATACACTATTATTAACTATAGGAACTATGCTATACAGTAGATCTCTAGGACTTATTCATTTTATGTAATTGTAAGTTTGTACCCTTTAACGAATACCTCCCCATTTCCCTCTTCCCTCATTTCCTGGAAACCACCATTCTACTTTCTGCTTCTATGAGTTTCACTATGTTAGATTGCTCATACAAATGGGATTCTGTAGCATTTGTACTGTGTCTGGCATAGCATAAGTGTCCAGGTTTATTCACATTGGTATGAATGGCAGAATTTCCTTCTTCTTTTTTAAAGCTGTATAATATTCCATTATGTGCATATGCCACATTTTGTTTATCTTTTCATCCATTAATGAGTGCTTAGGTTGATTCCATATCTTGGTTGTTAGGAGTAGTGCTGCAATGAGCATGGGAGTGTAGATATCTCTTGGAGATCTTTGTTTTCAATTCCTTTGGATATATACCCAGAAGTGAGACGGCTAAATCATATAGTCATTCTATTTTTAATTATCATTCAGAGTAATTCCCTCAAGATTCATCCAGGTTGGCAATTATATTTTTAAAATAAGAGTATATCTGACTATTACAGCAATTTGATCCATCCAGGTCTTGATAGAGACCTAATTTTTCCCAGATGGTTTATACTAAGGGACTTTAATGAACAGACTAGTGCCAGAGGCAGGAGCGACAGTAAAGGAGCCAACAAAGGATATGGACACACCTTGCGGATGAGCAACAGTGGGAGCCATGGCCATCACTGAAGCTGAAGCAGAGAGGAAGCAAATGCCCTGACCGGAGCCCAGTGAGAGGCACAGGGGAAGGAGGAGGAGGAAGGTCTGATGGGAGCAAAGATCAGGGACAGACATAGCTACTGCAGATTGCAGCTGGGGAGACATGTCCTGACTTCTCCTCCTGCCCCCAGACTTCCTGTCTAACTTTGGCTGAACCCGACAGGAAGCCAATGGATCAGGAAATCCAAAGCAGCCTTTAGAAGCCAGCCTCCATGGGCATAGAGCAGGGCACAGAAGGGCACAGATGGATTTAGGGACAAACAACAAATAGTGATACAAATTTGTCCATTCATCAAATATTTCTTGAACATCCACTATTTGTAAGTCTCTGTTCTAAGCATTGGAGAAGCACAATATACAAGAATGATGGAGTCTTTGTCCTTAATTTCTAGTAGGGGAAGACAACTAATAGATATGTATATATGTGTACATTATATTTGTTAATAGAAATGGTATAGGAAGATGAGAGCGATGATCTTAGAAAGAGTAGGCACACTTCTGAAGTGATGTCCCTGAGTGGGGAAGAGTTCATGGGATCCAGTGCATGAGACTTGATGGCCTTAGACAGGGGCATGGGCATCCATAATACCAGCTGGGGAGGCAAAATAAATGCATGCAGATAAGTGAGGGGGTGCAGATGCAGTGGATGGAGTATATGAAGTTCTCTTCTATTGGTTTCTATTTTCTCAGTGAAAAATGAATCAAGCTGATAGGAAGGATAATTGCGGAGGAGTTGGAAGTTTGAGGAAAGAAAAGGTGTGAAAAAGTTATCTAGGAAAGTTGAATTGTAAATGGGGCAGGTCATGAGCATCTTTTAAAAACTCTTGCCCAGGTTGTGTCTCAGACCAGTTAGATCATAACCACCAGGGGTAGGACACAGGCATGAGCCTTTTTGAAGCTCTGCAGTTGGTATCAGTAGGCAAGCTTGGCAAGAACTGGAGTAGGGAAATGAAGCATGGCTGTCTGGCCGCTCTGAGGTTAGAAGTCATGATTTGCAGGTGAGACTAGTCAGCATGGTCATTTTCTCTCTCTCACCAATTCCAGTGGCACATGTGTAGGTATGGAGCAGGTTGTGGATTATATTTAACCACAGTTGGATTTAAACAGATAAATATAATAGATGCAAGGGAGCTGAGGTATGGAAAAAGGTGATTAATATGATAGAACCTGGACTCTCAGCTGGGTAAGGAAGGACTCAGGTGTGATGGTGAAAACTCAACAGGCTCCTATGGGGTCACATTTCTGGAGCTGGTGCACTAGAGGAAGTGAGCTGCAAAAGTGGATGATCATGATCAGATTACAGCATGCTCAGAACTGAGATTGGGGAGAGGGTACTATTCCCGGTAATGCTAAATTTCAGAGCATGAGTATTGGAGCTGGTGATGATATAAACTAGAAGACAAAATATTAAAGAGAGCAAGTTAAAAAACTAGAAGTTAAATATGTTATAGATTGCCTATATGTGAATACTGAATCCTCAAGAAATATGTCATAAATAGTATTAGAGACAGAGACATTAAGCCAGATACAAAAGCTATAAAGTAATTGTTACATTTAAATATAATATATGTTGTAGTAAATCTGGGGAAAAAATCTCAAGTCTACACAGAAAATGAGGAAGAGCAAAGCAGTCATTAGAGATATATTTTGGGGTCTGATCTAACAATGGCTTCACACTTCTCTGTATCTGGCCTTGTGCTGATGACTTAACCTCTCTGTGACCCACTTTATTCATGAATCAATGTAGTGATGATAGTATCTCTCTGACAGTTTTGTTATGAGAAATTAACTGATGTGGCTGTAAAGTTCATAGAACGTTCCCTGGCATTACTACGTTGACTTGCTATCCACACTTGTCAATTATCCTTGATGTTTCTCAGACTGCAGTGACTCTTTGCTTATTCCAGAGAGGAGTTCTCAAACTTGAATGTGCATCAGAATCATCATGAGGGCTTGTTGAACATATTGGCCAGCCTCAATCCCAAAGTTTCTGATGCAAGGTGGGGCCCACAAATTTGCATGACTAAAAAGTTCCCAGATGAGGCAGATCTTGCTGGTCAGAGCCATATAACAAGCCTCCTCTCCCACGAGGCTTATTATTACAGCATGGTATTGGCATAAAAGCATAACCTACTCTCCTTTACTGATGTAAGTATTAGTAAAATTACCACACTTACCCCTT